CTGTCTAGTGGCTGTTCTGTTCTCTGACCCCAGATAAATTTATTAGGGTGCATGGTATATTGGAGAACACAGTATCACCACATTTCCCCTTTTTTTTGTCTAAAATTGAAAAGCTTATAACTAATACAAGAAAAACTATATCCAATAAGTATATACAATATATACAATCAAGAATGACATTAACAGTGTCTAGTCCATTAACATTTGGCAGATTCAAATGAAAAACTCCATTAATATATATTAACAATGCCCAGTCCAGTAACATTTGATAAACTCAGACAAAAAAATTTCATTACTTATCCTATTTAAAACAAGTAGTTCCATTTTAAAAGTAGATTCAGTAATTGACCTATTGTTTAGAAGCTGCACCTGGCTCAAGATAACTTTTTTGCCAGCACACATTTCCACAATTCCTATCCTTGTGCATCATGAGGTGATGTAGTCAAGGGGTAGCCCTCATTGACCTTGATGTAGGCCATTTGGACCTTAATTCTCCAAAACCGTAAGCTAAATAAATCACCTTTTCTTCAGAAGTCCTGGTGAGAGAATAAGGATCATAATATAATCAGGCATAGGCTTAGACAACATGGCACTGGTGTGGGCATCCAGAATGACTTACTTAAGATGGCAGCTATCAGATATGTGAGGAACCATGAGATAGCAACAAAGGTGACTGCTCTACAACTTATTTCACACCCAGTTCTGGAAAATGCCACCTTTATGTAATTCTGAATAAATGTCCTAGGACTAAGGTGTTACCATCTGCCTGCCACCCTGTCCCTGGCTCCAGAGCTTAGAATCACCTCCAGAGTCTTTGTTTCACTTGGTGCTTTGTTTTGTTTAGACTGGCCTTGAATTCTTGATCCCCCTGCCTCAGTTCCTTAGTGGATTGTAGGTGTGCACCACCAAGCCCAAACTAGAGTATTTCTTTACATCAATGAAAAGCTAACAAACTGTTTATCGGGCTTATATGTCATAGAAAACTCTCGGGAGAATTTGACATGCAAGCCTAAATAAAGATGCAGACAATAGCATGCATGAGTCCCTGGGTACAATCCCCAGAAATAAAAACGTTTTTTAAATTAGTATTTAATTGCCTTAGAAAGGTAAAAGATGTTTAATGCAATGAAATGATTCTGTTAAAAAAAAAATCAGAGCCAGCATGGCTCAGCAGGGAAAGGCGCTTGCTACCAAGACTGACAATTTGAGTTCAAGCCCCAGCATCTACTGGTAGGAGAAGATCAACTCCCAGAAGTCATTCTCTGACCCTCACATACACCATGGCATACACGTGCCCACACACATTCAAATATTGAAATGTAATTAAAATTTTTAAATAAACCAGGCAGTGGTGGCACATGCCTGTAATCCCAGCACTCAGAAGGCAGAGGCAGAAGGGTTCTGTGAATTTAAGGCCAGCTTGGTTTATTACAAATCGAGTTCCAGAACAGCCAGGGATACACAGAGAAACCCTATCTTGAAAGTAAAATACATAAAATCAGCCTGACTGTAACAAACAGCCCTCCATCCAGAACAAGAAAAGGCCCCAGCGATGAACAGGAGTCTGAGGAGTCTTATTAGGAAAGGATTTACAATGTTCCCCTCCACGTGTCAAACCCCAATAACACTGAAGCTGCAGAGACCAAAGTCTCCCACACTCCCCTTCTGCACCTCACAGAACCTACTAGAGCAGAGGGATCTGAGATTGTCATCATTCAACTCAACACAGCTGTGCCAGCTACTCAGTCCATGAGCATTCTCTTTCGCTCTCATTTTCTATTGTTAATTTCTACTCTAGCAAGTGTCTTGGGATGGTTTTGCTTTTGTTTCTACATTGCTCAGTTAGGTCTTAGGACCATTATATGCCCACCCAGTTTATTCTAAGACGTTCTTCACAATACTCTTCCTCCCCATCCCATATACTACCACCACCCCTTAATAATATAACTTCTCTCATCCTCACCACCTACTCTTTTTACTTTCTAATTATAACTTTCCATAGCTTTAACAATCTCTAAAAGCTTTGGACCCTGACTATCACAAATTTCCCTCCTACTCACTTTACCCACCATGATGGGTTTTTTCCCAAAGTTGATCTTAATGCTTAATCCTTATCCTCATGCAACCTATGTTTTCAAAGCAAATCTAATATTTAATTCTCAGCTTTACCTACCTTCTTTGCCTTCTACTCCTAATATTACTTACTAAAATTCAAGCTTACACCACACTCTTCTTGGTTGTTTATCCTGTAATAGTTATTGAAGTCAGAGCACCCACCATTAGTAATTGGCTAGACATTTGCATAGAAGTATCATCAAATAGCTGTGGTTGCTCTCCCAGGGAAGCCCCTGTTCTAGAAGCAATACAGAACTTACTCTGGGCACCCAGAGCTCCGAGTCTGAGGAATTACATTCTGACTACAAAGTCAACCCTATCAACCCTACCCCCACCTCATCCAAGTCCCACTTGAACATTACAAATACTTTGACTGAAAGAATGCAACTGATGATGATGATGATGATAATAACAATAATAATAATAATAATAATAATAATAATAATAAAGCAGGGGGCTGGAAAGATGGCTGAGTAGATAGGAGTATGCACTGCTCTTGCAGGTGACCTGAGTTAGGATTCCAATACCTGTGTCAGATGGCTCACAGATTCTGTTACTCCAGCTCCTAAGGGATCTGATGCTTCTGGCCTCCACAGGCGCTCGAGGTGAGTGCGTGTACACGTATGTGTACACACACACACACACACACACACACACACACACACACACACACACACACATAGAAACAAATCTTTAAAAAATAAAAATAAACCAATCAAAGAAATAAGATCAGATGCATACATCTTAAGGCAGTAACATACGAACTATGAAAAATCAAGACAACATAACTTCCTCAAAATTTATTAACCCTACGGCAATGACATCTAGTAAGAGTGAGAACACAAGGACCTCTGTGCTTCCCACAGCAGAGCACAGCCCCAGGGAGGACATGGTGCCCTGGGGGCTCCAGGAAAATACCATTGTGTCATATCTGGAACTTGAATTTGTCAAGTGGCTCTTTATTCATTTCTTTTCTGGGACTCCCATCACAACTAAAAACTGGTATTACCCCTGCTTATACTAGCAAATGACTTAAGGAATTTTGCAATTTGTATAATATTAATCACTTTACTGAAATCCCTTACAATCCACAGGGTCAGGCTATTGTAGAACGACACCTTCAAATACTTAAATGGCAAAGTTTAAAAATAAAAAGAAGGTATATATACCCACTAAGTCCCCATAAACTATGCTACATCTAGCTGTGCTAACTTCAAATTTCTTCACTTTAAAGGATAATGCTTTTTCTACTGGCCAAAAGCATTTTGCCCTAAAGGAAACATAGCCTAAAGTTTATGTTAAGTGGAAAGATCTGGAAACTAATCAATGGAAAGGGCCCAATGTTGTTCTAACAGCAGGGCAAGGTTATGCTTGTATCTTTCCAGAAAATGAATAAATTCCCAGATGTCTCCCACTCCAATGCATCTGACCAGGACAGCATTCCAGAGACCACCAGTCAAATAAAACACAAAAAAACAGATTTCAAACCCAACTAGAGGATTTTCCAAGCAGAAGAATAAGGTACTGACCTGAGGAGATAACAAGGACACAATACTACTGACCCCAAAATGCTGCTGTTATGTTTACTCACTATATTACATGTTAAATCTCAGCTTGTCTGTTTTTGGTTGTTTTTGTTCTTTTGGGGGGCCCACCACCCAGCTCCCAAATAAATCACATATGGAAGTTTACTCTTAATTATAAATGCCCAGCCTACCTTGGCTTGTTTCTTGCCAGCTTTTCTTAACTTTAATTATCCCATCTAGCTTTTGCCTCTGGGCTTTTTCCTTTTCTTATTTCTGTATATCTTACTTTCACTCTTACTCCATGGCTGGCTGGGTGGCTGCATGACCGGGTGGCCGGCGGGCTGGCTGGCTGGCCAGCCCTAAGCGTCCTCCTCTCCTCTTCTTGCTCTTTCCTCTTTCTTTTTCTCCTCTTCTCCTTCTATTTATTCTCTCTGCCTGCCAGCCCCGCCTACCCTTTCTCTTGCCTAGCTATTGGCCGTTCAGTTCTTTATTAACATCTTAAAATAATATTCCACGACACTTGTCAGTGCAGAATCCAAATGCCTTTTGTCAGGAGGGGAATAAAAGCCTGTAATAGGAGACAATATGATGCTGTTTTCCCATGTTAAGGATTGTTTTTAGGCTTTTTTATTGTCAGCCCCAGAAACGATTACTGGAATACAAAGAGAGGCCTCAACAATGGTCTGTATGAATAGTAAAACTACTAGTATTACAACAAAACAATGAGCAGAAATTAATCAAGAGGTGGGCGAACTGAAGACCACAGTTTCACAAAATAGAACTACTTTAGATCATCTGTTGCTCAAGCACAATCTTGGGTGTCATCAATTCCTTGGCATGTACTGCTTTAATGTGTCAGATTTCTCTCATACTAGGGATGGTCAAATTAAAGATCTGCATAAGGAGATAAAATCTCTCAAGTGATCTTTGAATGGCCATCATGGCTAAAGTGGCTTTCCCCTTTCCTTGGTCCTCTGCTAGCTATTCTTATAATTCTGTTATGCTTGCCTATGCTAGTTAGATTAGCCGTGAGGGTAATTCAACCTTGACCTCTATTACAGCCACAATTTTCTTTTTAAAAAATAAAAAGGGGGGAGGATGTAGAAGGCATGAAGGTCCTTGTACTCACAGATAAACACTAGGGGAACCAGGAATGTTAAGCACACAGGGTTGTCCCTTCAAAGGGAGGGATGTATAACCAACCTGTTATCTGCTCAGAAGGCTGGGAGAGAATGGTTAACAGCCTGCTGACCTTTGTGCTATCTGTGTGTGGCTCAGAGCACAGCAGATCCTCCTCCAGACCCTTATCATGAGCTTGTCAATCTATAGAACTATCTTTATGGAAAGTGTCACATGTAATCAATCTCTAAAAGCCATCTTTATTGGAAGATGTCACATGTACAAAGAGTTCCGAAGTTGTCACGTCGTAAGCTTTATTGTGCACATGGGATTAAGTAAATTGTCACCAGGAAAGTTTTCACCAAATTTTGCTGTGCTTAAATATGCCCCAAATAAACTACTCAGTGTCAAATTCCCAAAGTTTGAACCAACACCAGCTACTTAGCCATGTTGAAGCAAACTACCTCTTGAAGTCCACAAATCATTACTTTGCTGGCCATGGTGGTTGCAGAGACCCCTGAAAGAGATAAATCAAAATAATGACTATAAGCATGTTCAAAGACACAAGCAAACCACTGGATGACATAAGGAAGACAATGGGTGATGGAAAAGGAATTCAACAGAGATAGAAATACTGAAGAAAAACGAATTTGAAATATTGAAGTAAAAAACATAATAGATCAAATAAACTGTGGAAATTATCAGCAAGAATAGATGGCAGAGGACAGAAAATCTAAGCTTGAAGACAAGATGGAGAAACTAGAACAATCCAATGAGGACAATGATAGAATAACAAGAAGGCTCCAGTGGGAATCCAAGATATACATGACACTATGAAAAAGCCCGATTTATTGGATTACAGGCATAGAAAAAAGGGAGAAGAATCTCATTCTAAAGACATGGAAAGTGTTTTCAAAAGAATCAAACAAAAAACATTCCCAGATTTATGTAGCATGAATCTTAAAAGGTCTTATTAATAAAAACAAACCTGGATCCAGGTACTGAGGTCAATGCTGCAAGATCAGAGAAGCAGAACAAGCCACAGCTACCTCACCTTGCCAATTCCTCTGCTGATCCTGTTTCCTCAGACTGGATGCCTCTCAGCTGAACTGTGCTGCTCAAAAATCTAAAAGCTTAACCTGCCTAGTTCCTGGTCCTCACACCTTACATACCTTTCTGCTTTCTGCCATCACTTCCTGGGATTAAAGGCTCACTTCATGGGATTAAAGGCGTGAGTCACTATGGCTGGTTGTTTCCAGTGTGGCTTTAAACTCAGAGATGGATCTCTGCCTTCAGAATACTAGGATTAAAGGCGTGTGTGCCACCATTTTCTGGCCTCTATATCTAGTAGCTGTTCTGTTCTCTGACCCCAGATAAATTTATTAGGGTGCACAATATTTTGGGGAACACAATATATCACCACAGATTTAGGGAAAGAGTTGCCAGTCCAGATATGCAAGGCATTTAGGACACCACACAGACAGATCAGAAAAATGACTCCTCTCACCATATTATAATTAAAATGCTAGGAACCTGGGAGAGAGTTCAGTGGTTTATCAACATTTCCTATTTTTCTAAAGGAGTCAAGTTCCCAGCACCTAACTAAGGTAGCTCTCCATTGCCTGAAACCTCGGTCCAGGGGGATTCAATGCTCTCTCAGACACCTGCACACATGTGGCATACACTCACACAGACACACAGGCAGACACAAAAATAAAAACAAAATAAATCTGAAAAAAGATTAAAGCACTAAATATACAGAACAAAGTATATTGACTTTTTAGATGTATGTGTCTACTTTGGAATACCTATCAAACTCAGGAAGCTAAAAAGGGCCCATGTAGGGGTGAGGGTACTTAATGGATGAAGGTGCAATGGAATACATGCAATAGGAAAATAGAGAGGGAGAAATGCTGGAGGTTAAAAGTTAAACCAGTGATGGGAGTAGAGGTACAGGGTGAGGAAGGGGTGAAGTTTGTTGACCAAAACTAAGGATGTAAGGAAAGCCCATGTACACACACACACACACACACTTTGATCACTGGTACACAGCATGAGTGGACAATACTTCCTCCAGAAAATGTGGGTTGTTAAAGAGTCACTTCCAGACATAGTATCAGAGCCAAGAAAGGCCCGAGGCTCCCAAAACAACACAGGTTATTGCTATCGCTCTTGGCTGGAACTGACCTAAAAACTTCCTCCTTGCTGGCTAGTTTTCATAGTGCCAGAGGGTACTAAGCAGGTTGCAGGGGAAGAAAAGTCATCAGTGGTGTTACCCAGTGGTGAACCCTGAATGCTACAATACCAACTTGCCAGCCAATATAGATACACACATATATATGTGTATATATGTATACACACACACACACACACACACAGCACAAAAGTTATGTTGGGGGTAACTAACTGCTTTCGATTGGAGTTAAAGCCTGTTCCAAAGGACAGAATTCATGCCTGGTAAACTGTAAACTTAAGGAATCTACTACTGAAATCTTGCAAAATGAACATGTCAAACTCTCTTCTAAAAATTTGTGTTTATGCACATAGATTACTGCTGCGCTCAGCCACAAGTAGAGAAGCTTCTCTCTGCAGTGGACAGCAGTTAATGCAGAGACTCATAATTAGTCAAAGTACTAAGAGTTAGTGACTATTGAATGGCCAGCTCTAAATAAGACATCTGTTTTCACACACACACACACACACTAATGTATTATAAGGAGCAATGATCACTTTTTAACTTTCTTGCATATGTTAAATATCACTTATCTGAATGGGTGTTTTGCCTGCATGTATATCTATGCATCACGTGCATGCAGTGCCCATAGAGGTTGGAAGAGGGCGTCAGATCCCCTGGGACTAGAGTTACAGTTTCAGGGAGCCATGGCAGGTGCTGGAAATTAAACCCAGGTTCACGGGAAGATAAGTGTGTGCATACACACGTGCCTGTGTGAGTTTATGTGCACCTTATCTGTGAAGGAGACCGTAGAGGCCAAGAGGGTATCCTATCTGAACCCTGGCCCTCTACATAAGCAGCAAGTACACTTAACTGCTGAGCCATGTCTCCAGGCCCATTGTTCAATTTTTGAGTGAATGGGTGAGGAAATGTCTTTACTGGTACAGTGTGGTACACAGCCTGAAATGGCTTTACAGTAAGTGTAGTGTCCTAACTTAGGAATCTGAAGTGCCCTGGTGACCTACTGAGTCATCCTCAATGTGCTGAATGTCGCTGATTATCTCTCCTTGAAGATCAAAAACAGAGCCCTGCGCTTGGGGGAGGCAATGTGACCTGAGGCTAAGCGAGCAAACCCTGTAAGTCATTGAGACCCTTTAACCTCCTAAGGTTTAATTTCCTCACTTGAAAATGGTTGTCCACACGGTTAATGTGAGGATGTAGCTAATGCATGGTGTTTCATATTACCCTCTCCTCGGGTTCTGGATTCTGATTACAAATTCTCTAGTCTGAGATTATGAGAACACTGGATATGAAAAAGGAACTCGTCTGGAAGTAAAAGGGGGACTAACCGAAGTCGGAAAGTCTCCTGGTAAGGGTACTGCCCAGCCCTGGGCACGCACTTAGCTTCTCAAAGCCTTTCTGACGTTGGTTTCACTTGCCATCCTATGTGGGCTGACAAATCAGACCTGGCCTCCCCCTGCCTGCTTCTTACGCACGTCTCTGGGGGAGGTGACTACGGCAGCGGTCGTGTGGGACTTCTGGCCACGCGAGGGCAGCATTCCCGCTGCCGGGCTCGCCCGAACCTTCCTGCAAAGCCCCAGCCCAACCTGAACAGAACAAAACACCGCAGTGGGCGTCCCCTTTCCTTTCAACCCGCTGCGCCCGGCCACGACCAGGCTGCACTTAAGAAGCCGTTTCTCAGCATTCCACCCGACTGACAAGGCTCAGCCGGCGTTCTCGCGAGGTCACCACCGGAAGTGGGCGGCGGCAGGAACCCGGAGTTCTCGCGAGATGTCGGCGGGAAGTGGGTGGCGCCCCGGCCGGAGCTGATCGCATCACTAGTCGGTTCTCGCTAGCTCGGAGCGGCTGCAGCCATTGCCTCCGGCGCTGTTTTCTGAGGACTCGCCCCGCAGCGGTCTCTCCTGCCCGGAGCTCGCGCGCTCGGCCTCCCGCTGCCCGGCGGTGCACGTCGCCCAGCCCCCGGAGCCGCCGCCGCCGCCGCCGTCCTCGGTCGGTCCGCCGTTAGGCCGCGCCTCAGGCCCAGTCCGTGGCGACGCCGGCAGGTGATGCCAAATACAGCCATGAAGAAAAAGGTGCTGCTGATGGGGAAGAGCGGGTCGGGGAAGACCAGCATGAGGTCGATCATCTTTGCAAATTATATTGCGCGCGACACCAGGCGCCTGGGTGCCACCATCGACGTGGAGCACTCCCACGTTCGATTCCTGGGGAACCTGGTGCTGAACCTGTGGGACTGTGGCGGCCAGGACACCTTTATGGAGAATTACTTCACCAGCCAGCGGGACAACATCTTCCGTAATGTGGAGGTCCTGATATACGTGTTTGACGTAGAGAGCCGCGAACTGGAAAAGGACATGCATTATTACCAGTCGTGTCTGGAAGCCATCCTCCAGAATTCACCTGATGCCAAAATCTTCTGCCTAGTGCACAAAATGGATCTGGTTCAGGAAGATCAACGTGACCTGATTTTTAAAGAGCGAGAGGAAGACCTGAGGCGTTTGTCTCGCCCGCTGGAGTGCGCTTGTTTTCGAACGTCCATCTGGGATGAGACGCTCTACAAAGCCTGGTCCAGCATCGTCTATCAGCTGATCCCCAACGTTCAGCAGCTGGAGATGAACCTAAGGAATTTTGCCCAGATTATTGAGGCCGATGAAGTTCTGCTGTTCGAGAGAGCTACGTTCTTGGTGATTTCCCACTACCAATGCAAAGAGCAGCGTGATGTGCACCGCTTTGAGAAGATCAGCAACATCATCAAGCAGTTCAAGCTAAGCTGCAGTAAATTGGCCGCTTCTTTCCAGAGCATGGAAGTGAGGAATTCTAACTTCGCTGCCTTCATCGACATCTTCACATCAAACACGTATGTGATGGTGGTCATGTCAGATCCATCCATCCCTTCTGCAGCTACTCTGATCAACATTCGTAATGCCAGGAAACACTTTGAGAAGCTAGAGAGAGTAGACGGCCCCAAGCACAGCCTCCTCATGCGTTGAGTAATGCCAAATGCTCCTTAGTAAAATGCTGAATTACCTTTTTGTTTTCCTTTGCATCCCTTGTTTTTGATATTCATGTCGTGTGCTTAAAAGTGAGCTTTGAAACGTGTGCTTACTATCCCATCTCTTCCCTAGTCTTAGCATTGGACGCTATTTACTCAGCTACCCAGTAGAGCTTCAAGACGGCCTTTATGAAAAGTTGGTGTGGTGTAACACTAAAGTAGGTGGTTTGTGTGTGTGTTCTGGTTACCTGGTTATAATAGATAAGAATATTAAAGCAGTTATCTTCTGTATTATCAGATAACAAAGGTGGAATGTTACTATTTTATCAGCAAGATATTAAAATGTATTTCTAAATCCTCGGTTTCAATCATGAATAAACATTTATTATTAGCAATTTAAAATACGTTGTTTGAAATAATTAAGTAAAGATTCTGATTATCCACAAGTACTGTTTAACTGGCAAACTTCCCATTTTGCTAGTGTGGCCCCCACCACCCTGGCAGTGCTTCTAAGCAGCTGTAGCAGTGGTTAAGACTCAAAGGACTGGAAGAGTGACTCAGTGGTTAAGGGCACTGTTTTTCCCCCAAATACCTGGGTTCGATTCCCAGGATTCCCAGCACTCACATGGCAGTTCACCGCCATCTCTTAACTGCAGTTCTAGGGGATCCAACACCATCTTCTGGCCTCTGCAAGCACCAGGCACAAAACAGCCATACACAAAAAAAAAAAAATTTAATTACAAATTGGATTCAAGGACTGGATATTCATATAATGTTACTCAACTGGCAGATGGCTTGTCTGACGATGCACAAGATCCTGGGCTCAGATACTAGCAGCACATAAAAATGGAGTAGTGGTGCATGGATCGGGAGTTCAAGGTCATCAGGAAGTTTGAGACTAGCAGAGATAACATGAGATACCCCCACCCCTGACCCACTCAGTGGTAGAGTGCTTGTCTAGCACAGGTGAACCCCTGGTTCTGACCCTTTACTTGGAAGTTGAGCAAGACATTTGATTTCACTGTGCCTATTCCCTTGTTTGTAGGTCCAATAAGAATACCATGACTGCCAAAAACTTTAACACACAAAGCATCCAGAATAGTGTGCCTGGTAAGCTTTGACCACTGAGCCATTCCTTATGACTGCATGTGACATCTGGCTAAGTTTGAACCCTTTAAATGCTGGGTATTAAGTACTTGGCGTGCATGTATTTTAATTTATTAATTCATGAAGAAACTGATATGACCTTACTAAGGTAAGACACTTAGGCATTCTTACCAGACCCTCTGTCCTTCCTATTATACCCCTCCACCACCGTTAACAAGAATAAACAAAAAATAACCTAGCTTTTGCTAGGCATCGGCTCATTCCCTGAAATCCCAGTATTCAGGAGGCTAAGGTAAGATGATCACCATGAATTTAAGGACAGCCTGGGTTATATAGTAAGGCCTTGCTTGCCTCAAAAAAAACAAAAACAAACAAAAAACAAACAAACAAACAAAAAACCCTATCATTTTATGTATAGATATCTCTTCATGTGATTCTAAATTCATAAACTGAAGAAACCAAGGCCCCAGAATTAGTATTTTGCCATTTGTATTTATCTGGAATTGCATGATACTGACCAGATTTGTAGATCCCTTACTTTGTGGGGACGGATTCTGAGGTTCCTAATGTGCACTGGTCATATTATATGGTAAAAACAATACAGACATAAACTGCCCCATTCCAGTTCTAATAACAGCTTAAAGGCTATATTAAGTAGTTTCTTTTATAGGGAGACTTCTGATCAACTCGGAGCTTTTCACTTTACAAATGAGGCAATACATGTAAGGGATAGGGCTTTAAATTTTCTAAGGCTTTTTACATTATTTACTAAACACTAGCAGTGGGTGTGATGACAGGTTCCCTACCCATGAAAAGCAAGAAGCTACGAAATGTATAAACTAGGCATGGTGTCACCACCTTATAATCCCAGCACTCAGGCAGGCAGCAGGAGCAATTTCACTTAGGCCACCTTGGGCTACACAGGAAGTTCCATGCACCTGCCTCAAAAAAATAAAAGTAAAATCTGCTGTAATAAATCTAGAGTCCAAGGGATTAAAATACCAGTAACAAAGTACTCTTACCTTTATCACTGAGCCTTTCAAATTATTTTGATCAAATTGTACTTTTATATGGGATAATTGAATGGTCCAGGACATAATTCTTTTTGAAATACAGAGAATCCTAGACAGGTGGTACAACACTGAATATTTATTCTAGACAGTAGTATTAGGAACACACTTAAAAACAGTCCCTAGGAAACAGACATTTTCCACTTGAGAGTATGGACTCACCAGCTCTCGGTGCATAAAGAAAAGTGATCTTTAGAGCAAGCAGGCATCTGAAGTTTATACTGTCCTTACACATTAAACAACATGTCTTGAACACATTTTCTTTTGGTGCACTAGGGGAAAAAATAGTTTGCTTTTATACAAAAAAGGGTCTCAAGAATTCCTGTTTAACTTTAGATAAAATAAATGGCATGCCTTACAACTAAGAAAAATATAGTAAAGGTTTCAAAATACCTGTTTAGTATATTTTGTTAAACTTAGTCCCTGCCCTCCAAATGTTCTTTAACTTCTCAAACTATTCTTTATCCTACTTGGTAACATTTTTCATGCTCAGCAACATTACGTGCTTGCCCTCTTGAAACATTTAACTTTCAGGGACAGAGAGTACATCCTTAGCACTCACAGGTTTGATCCCACCCCCTCAATAATAATTGGGACATACTTGCATCTCAAGTTTTACTTAATGTAGAAATCCATTTGCACAGCTTTTTAATCTTGGTGAAGATAACAAGGTACACTCTATGTAACCAAAGAAAAAACTTATTTACCCCTTCTTTTATTCGGTCATAGAGGCACACAAAATTCCAATACTTAAGTGTCTGTGACCCTTGGGATATGCATGTGTATGTACATGCATACCCAAGAGACATCTACATAGGTAAGAAGGTAGGTATCTTAAGTTTGCACACAGCTGCTGTGATCAGAGATCACATACAATTTGGGGGAGGTGTCTAATGAAGACACTAAGTGAAAGCTAGGCAAACACCTATAGTTCCAGCACTTGAGAGGCTGAGGAAGGAAGATTGCTGTGAGCTGAGACTAACCTGAACAAAATAGCAAGAACCCCTCTCCCCCTACCCACACAGACAAATATAAAACAAACAACAAAAGTTAAACAATACACTTCAGAAAAGACATAAGACCACGGACCTAGGGAGGACAAATTAAGAATTCCAGGTGGAAAATGTGATTTGTTCTAAGCTTTGTTTGTTTTCTAGACAGGGTCTTACTGAAGCCCTGACCATACTGGAACTCACTATGTAGACCAGACTTGGAGATCCAAATGCCTCTGCCTCCTGAGTGCTGAGATTAAAGGTGGTTTTTTTTTTTTTTTTTTTTTTTTTGGTTTATTGAGACAGGGTCTCTCTGTGTAGCCCTGGCTATCCTGTCACTCACTCTGTAGACTAGGCTGGCTCAGAGATCCACCTGTCTCTGCCTCCCAAGTGCTGGAATTAAAGGCGTGCACCACCATGCCTGGCTTAAAATGTTTATTAATTAAAGGGTTTAAGTGCTGTTCTGAGCTTTAAAAGGAACTATAACTGGCTGGAGAGATGCCTCAGTGATTAAGAGTATTGGCTGTTCACTCTGGGGTTCCAGGTTCTAGTCCCAGCACCCATATGGAAGCTAACACCAGTCTGTAACTCAAGTCCCAGGGGATCTGACTCCCTTTGCAGGCCTCCATGGGGACCAGGCACTGAAGTGGTACATAGACTTGCAGGCAAACATCCACACACAAAAACAAAATGTAAAAAATAACTCTAACTGGTATAATTAAAGGTTATTAAAATTTTCACGTCAAAATAATGAAAGAACTGAGATGAGCTAGAAGGGCAAGGTAAGTACTCTAAAAGATCCCAGGGGAAGGAAGAAAGAGGAGACTCTGTGTTTAAATTAGAACCCTATTCTAGAATGGACTTCTAAGCAAGGACCTGACATGATCAAAGTAATTCCTTTTCATCAAAGGGAACTTCAGGAGATACTGGATGGGAAGGTGCCAAAAGCATTAAGTTATAATCACTTTTGGAGAAATTACAGATTTGGGATTTTGTTCATGGTGCTGAAAACAGGAAATAAACATGTCAGTAACACTCAGCAGACCATAGGTAAATTTCAGTGACTCATAAGTCCAAAATATCCAGATACTTGATCTTTTGACTCTCATAATGAAAGACACCTAGAACAATACACATACAATAGCATACTACTTCTTAAAGATACCTTGAGGCTAATATGAATCGCAACCTCTTAGCAGCAAACTATTGAATTTGAAGAGATACTAGCCCATTCGAACATGTGGCTCGGGCAGGCCTCGCCCTTCCCTCACATTCCCTCTGCCTTGCTATAAAACACATTACATTCCTAAAGCTAGCCACCTAGGTCTATTTCCTTATTTGGCCACTTCCTCCTCCTGAGGCTGATAACCAAGGTCCAGTTATCAAAGTATTAAACCCAGCAATCAGAATCACATGCCCAATTAAAATTAAATACCTCATCCTAACACAGGGTTTCCCCCTTTAGCTTTATAAACTGCCATTTGCTTATATGCCACATCTGTCTCCTCTCTATCCAGAGGCAGTCCTTTGTCCCTCCAGGACAAACACTCCTTCCCCTTTCCCTTGTTCCCTTCCCCTTCTCCTTCATAACCTCCTTTACCACCGCATCCTAGCCCATTCTAACACAGACCTCCCCTTTTTCTCCTCTTAACAATTACACCTGCAAGGTCATTTGCTGCTGTTTTCTGCAACCACTTTCACTTTTCTTCCCCACTTAATAAAGGATCTCTATGAAAACAGGTGTTTGGGTGTGGTTTGGGCTAATCCAGGGCCCAGGAGGAAACCCCTACTATTTGAGGGTCTCCTTCAGAACTTATAAATTACCAGGGAATCATATCTGAGATGAGATTTCTAGGCCCTCTCGTAGACAAGCATTTTAAAAAGGCATCCCAGATGATCCTAACACAGTTGGCCCCTGCATTCCACTCCAGCCTTTCATCTCCCTAGCTTCAATACCCACAGGCCCGGCACACCTGCTATCTCAATTATGAAGACTAAGTGAACATGCTAACACTTAGCTTTGGCTCTGGCATGACAGAAGCGTTGACAGTCACTCCTCTTACCTAATATGCTACTCAGAATTTAGATACTAGGCTGTCTGTAAAGCAGACAACAGAATGGTTTCCCAGTAGACCGTAGAGTCCCTGCTTTGCTGTATTCGTGAAACCCGACACCTTTGGAACACGTCCTCTCTTTCCATTGCCAAGAAGGAGCTGTTTCATGGTCCTCTGACACTCCACCCATTCACTTCCAGTACTCTTTCCTCCAACCTTTCTCCTCCCTCATTTTCTACAAGACTTGGGGACAAGATTTTGATAGTTACAAACTGAGGCTCTACACAGAACTGAAGGAGATAAATCAACCTTTCAGTGCCTCTTCTAGTCACTCTTATTCAGGCGCATGTATTCATTACTTGGATGTTACAAAAAAAAAAAAAAAAAACATTTCTGGGCCAGGGGCCTGGACAATAAGGCAAAATGTTACAAAATGTACAAATATTATAATTACTTAAATCCATGTTCATTTTTCTCAAATTATTTTTGGATTTTCTGTAGGCACTAGGGAACTTTAACAGATTATGACCAGTAACATAAAACTTATTGCTTTTCCCAAAACAACACCCACAGGCAACAATAGTAAAACAGATTTGTGAATTTTTCATTTATATTTTTGTTAAATATAAACTAGTGTTAAATTCTCAATCTATGTAGACAAAATAGTACAGTTTAACAGTGTTCTTTAAATGTCTGGTCATCTTCTACCTTTCCTCTTTTTCTCAATTCATTCTGTCTTGTCTTTACTTATAACATGTGTTTTATCCCATCAACATCATTCTTCAGGATTAATATATTGGAATTCATTAAGCCTGTTTACAATTTCACAAACTTTAAAATCTGTTGTTCTTACTATACATCCAAAGGCACTACGCTGCACTCATTTTTTCTTAGTACCAAAATATTTCATAGAGATCCAATAAAATGGTTTCTCTAAAATGAAAGATGAGGCTCTTCAGTGGCTATTAGATTACACACTCATCCTTAAGTTAATAACTGATATTTTAACACAACTATGACATTTGCCATTAACTTATGTTACAAGATTTTTCTAGGAATCAAAATAGTTTCCCAAAACTTGACATTTGCTATTTCTAAATACTTCACATTTCAACCTCATATATTTATCAAAAAAGAGCTAAGCACCTAAAGACATTACAAGAGGCCAAAGTGCATGCGAAACTTCTTTGACCCTGGAAAAAGAGTATTGTACTCCCAATGCACGTGTCTAGATCAGCTGCAGTTGAGTGGCAAGGCTTCCGTTTTAGCATCACAGCTAAATCAACTGGAAACTGCTTCATCTTGTCAAATCAGAGATTCTCTTGCTTCAAGGCTCTTATTTGAGATTTCTTCTTCTGCAAAATTGATTTTTAAAGGAGGAAAATAAGCATTACAAAGAAAAGTAAGAACAATTCCTAGTAATAGCAAATTTCTTGATTTTGAGAAGGCTCACTTTGTGCAACATTCACTAATAAATAATGAATAAAATTACCATTTATACTGAAATGCCTTTTCTCCAAAAATCAATGCCCTTCTAGAATACTTTTCAAAAAACTAGTGTTTAATTATCATGGGAAAGTCAAAGTGATATGCAAGGAATGAGTATAACAAGGCCTACCTCGGTCCTAAAATACTGAAATATAATTTTAATTCTTTATTATACAACTTTTAAAACATGAAAATAAGAGAATTAAAATTAATAAAATGTGCTGACCAGTTGGCTTCAATAACTTATACTGCTGTAGGCTGAACTGTGCCCACCAAGACACTCTGACTGTATGTGGAAAGAGACTTGGTGTGTCTCTCTCCATGGACATATAGAAGCATAGGGATTCTGAAAGTACCCATAAAGTGAGGGCTCATTCCTCTTACCCTAGATGAAAAGTTAAAGGTTATATTTAGCACATTACCCACCATGACCCTACAAAATTCACTTTGTACTATATTTATGAAAAGGTAAGTGAATAGGAGGAGATTAGAAATAGCCTGGACTACATGGTAAATTTGAAGCCAGTCTGAACTATACAGTGAGGTTGTGGCTAGCCAGAAGTATAATGCTGAGGTACTGTCTTAGGAAGGGAAAAAAAGTTGAGAGAATGGTTCACCTAGAGTGTATGCACAGGTCTGGTTAACGCTTACCTTTTAAGTTAGGCAGAAATTCCCTGAGACTACATGGTAACACAGTCCTCAATTTTTGCTCCAGCAGAGAAACTTTAGTTAGTGGTGATACAGACTGTGTTCTTTCATCAAGAGATATGTGGGAGGATGGTTTTGTGTAGTCAATAAACAAATCCTGAGTGCCCAAAACAGTATGTGGATCATCTGCTTGCACATCTTTGGCTACAGGGCTGAATTCTAAGTTGTGTTGTTCAAGTGTCTTGGAATGAGACAGGTGAGATTCTTTCCTTATCTTGTTAAGGGATTTCTTCAGAGTCTCCAAACTACTGAAAATAGCCTTTGAACTGGAATCTACTTCTGCAGTGGCTTGTCTTTTTCCAGCATCACCTGGAAAAGCATCACTGTGCACATAACTATTCGGCTCCAGTCTGAAACTGGTCTCTGAACTAGTAGAACTATTAAGACTTAGGTGACCAACTTCTTCTGGAAGAGTCTCATGTAATATTCCAATGCCACTCAACCTCTGAAAAGAGTCCCATAACAGAGTTTTACGTGTGGAAGGTTCACTGCAAGAAGCCTGTGAGTGGTCCGATACTCGAACAGAGTCCTCTTCACTTCTACCCATCACATCTATTCCACTGCCCATAGCACGGGAGAATGCCTCCATTTGTCCAGTGTCTGAAAGCCTGGTGGTTGCACACTCTAAATCTTGCTCACAAAGCATTTTCTTATTTATCAAGTCGGACTCGTCTTCTGTTGGGGGTTCACCGGTCTGACTTGTCAAAGGTTTCTGAGGCACGCTCTTGAGCTGGTCTGGAACAGCTTTCTGTTCAGGCAAGTAGGACTGATCGAAATCTGAGGAAAAAATAGCCATGCTGAGGTCCCTCTGGCTGTGCAGTGCTGGTGAAGACTCTGGGGACACAGCTCTACCTCCGGCGTCTACTAGACTCGCACCTGCACTTCTGTTAGCTCCAGTGTCAGCTTGTCTCCATGAGCTCCTGACTTCAGTCACTAATCAAGTGGAAAAAAGACAACCATCATTTACTATTTACACATTCCCAAAACATGGACATGCAACTAAAAATCTTTATTCTAGTGCTGAAAATAAAACTACTGCCTCAGTCCAACTTCCATACACATGCCAACAGAATGACAAACCTGAACATCAGGAAACTTCATCTCCAAATGACCAAACTCAAGTCAGACACACAACAACAGCTGTTCCTGAAACACACACACACCTCACCTCTACACAATACATGTGATTACATGCATGAAAACCACATTTTCTTGTCCATTCATGCCAGAAATGGGCAGAATTTTTTTTTTTTGATAAAGGATTAGATGCTAATATTTTAGGCTCTGTTGGCTATTTGATCTTCCACGACTTCCCAAATCTGCCACTATAGCACAGAAATGGCTATAAACAATGCGTCAACAAGTGAGCAAGGCTGTGTTAAACATAATTAAACACACACACACACACACACACATACACACACACACACACACACACACACACACACAGAGCAGGACCCTATTTACTTCACTGGTTGTCATCCAAAGAATACCAACCTAGGCTGTCTCACTTCAGTATGAATTAAATCAGCAGCAAAGAAGAAATTGTATTTAATCATTGAACCCAAACAATCTACATTGGTTAAATAAGGAAGTATGTATCAGATATTTGCCTACACCAACTGTTAAATGTATTAAGGAGAAGCATTTAACACTATGATTATTTTTGCCAAGGGGTAAAAAAATCTATGCAAGCAGTGTGATAGTTCTGTAGTGACTGCTGACTAAAAAAACATAATCCCCATACTCACTAAACACATTTGTTTATTTAGAGGGTGTGTGTGTGTGTGGTGTTTGTGTGTACACACACATACTATGGTGCATGTATGAAGGTCAGAGGACAACTTCCAGGAGTCCATTCTCACCTTCCACCCTGTAAAAGATGACTCAACTGGCCCCAGAATTTTTTTTCAAGTGACCAAATAAAATATTTTGCAGAAAAATAGCCAAGTAACACAATTAAAACACGATTATAATATCAGGACTGATTATGCTTCTGTGCGGGTACACTGAAGTCACAAAAGATGACTGATGAAAGACTGTTGTATAAATGTGAGTGATCACACTGTATACTTCAACAAAATTCCATTATATCAGAATAAAAAGCCACTGCCAATGAAACAAGAAATATGACTGTTTCCAAATAACTGTCAGACCGTAAGTCTAATAGGGGCAGTGTCTTAGCAAGGGAAACCGGGGCAGGAAGCATTAACTTACTCAAGTTTTCTGGAGTTCGGGGAATTTGATTCCTGGTTAAGAAAGGATTAGAAATCAGAGTGTCAATTAGCTCCTCCAATTTTACTTCTTTTCCTTCAGAGAGCTGTGGTGAATCAGATAGAACTACTCTGGCAACCTGCAACAGAAAAGAAAAAAAAAAAAATGACCGAGCCCAGACAGAACTTCGACAGAAACTCCAGTAGGAACCGTGGGCACATCACAGCCAGCAGCCCATAACTAGGAGGCGGCAGATTAGACAACAATGAAGTTCCTGGGAGGCTGCAGATAGATAGTCCAGGCACCATCCTGCTGTAAAACGAAACACCAGAGTATTTCTTGTTGTAATCTTAAACGGATAATACAAAAGAAGAAAGAAAAGGTTAGACTCTTTACACTCTGCCAGGCATAGTGGTGCACAACTTAAACCCAGCGCTCAGGAGACAGAGGCAGGTGGATCTGAGTTCAAGACCAGCCTGGTCTATATAGTAAGTTACAGGACATCCAGAGGTACATAGTGAAACCCTGTGAGTGAGTCAGGGAGGGAGAAAGGAAGGGAAAGAGGGAGGGAAAGAGGGAGGGAAAGAGGGAGGTGAGGTGGGATCCTTTACACACAGGAAGATTTTGTTTTTGTTGTTTTGTTTTTTAAAACAAGGTTTCTTTGTGTAGCTCTGGCTGTCCTGGAACTTACCTGTAATCCCAGCATTTCAGAAACAGGCAGGAAAACCATCATGAGTTCAAGGCCAGCTAGGGCTACATAAAGAACTTGTCTCAAACCACTAAATATTTTGTTTTCAGTCTCATGAGATTTTAGGATTCTCTTCTTCTATCCCACCCTATTCCATTGTGTTTGGGGTTTTTTTCCTTATTTTGTTATATTTTTTTTAGTTTTATGTGTATGAATGTTTTTGCCTGCACACATGTATGTATATGCACCACATGTACAACTGTTGGATCCCCTCAAACTGGGGTAATGAGTGGCTGTGAGCCAAAATGTAGATGCTAGAAATCAAACCTGAATCCTCTGGACAGGCAACAAGTGCTTACTTACCACTGAACCATCTCTCAGGCCCGAATTTTTTTTACTTTGTTTTGTTTGCTGGGACAGTCTCATGTAACCTAGGATTGCCTGGAACTCATTATTTAGCAGAGAATGACCTTGAATTCCAGACCTTCCTGCCTCCATTTCCCAAGTGCAATCTAAATTCTATTAAACTGAAAATGTACCTTACTTTCCATAACTAGGGAATTCTGATTTTAAAAGGACTGATCCTCTTTTTGGTGTAGTCAGTAAAGAGAATTAACAGAATATTAGAGACTTAGAAGCATTCAGAAACCACGAAATTGGCCTCATGCTACAAATAGAATTAATTGGCATTAATCCCATTCTCTGATACAGTGTAAATTTAGTAAGGTCAAAACTGATAAAGGAGACACTAAAACCCCAATTAATACAGTCTAAAGGCTATTTTTAAGTCACTTGGAAATAAATTGTGATATTCTATGATTACTTAATCAAATAATCAAGATAGCAACGGTGAAAAGCCTGAGTATTTAATTTGTATACACTGACCTGTAGGTACTGATCAAGTCATTTGACATAAAAACAGGACTACCTAAGGGAATCAAATTAGAGGCTGGCAAGATAGCTTAGCAGTTAAAGCCACTTGCTACAATGACCTGAGTTTGGTTCCAGGGACCAACAATAGAGAGAACCAATTCCTCCAATTAGTCTTCTACTTCCATATACATGCTATGGAATGCATGCAGGCGCGCACACACACATATACACAAACTTTTTCATTTAAAAAAAAATTTAAAAAGCCAGAGAGATGGTGCGGCAGACAAGAACAGTTGCTCCTGCAGAGAACCCGGGTTTGATTCCCAGTACCCACATGATGGCTCACAACCATCAGTAACTCTACCTCCAAGGGCTCTAACACCTTCTTCTGACTTCTTCAGACACTGAACACATGTGATGCACATACATACATGCAGGTAAAACATTCACACATAAAAAAATAAATCAAAAAAATTTAAGTATTAAAATAATAGCGAGGCAGTGTTGGCACACCTTTAATCCCAGCACTCAGGAGGCAGAACCAGGTGGATCTCTGTGAGTTCAAGGCCAACCTGGTCTACACAACAAGATCCAGGACAGGCACCAAAATTACACAGAGAAACCCTGTCTTGGAAAAAACCAAAACTCAAGGACTAGAGAGATGGCTCAGAATCTAAGAGCATGCACTGCTTTTGCAGAGGACCTAGGTTCAGTTCACAGCACCACATGGTAGATCATAACCATCTAACTCCAGTTCCAAGGGATCCAACACCCTCTTTCTGGCCTCCTCTGGCACCAGGCATACACATGATGCAAATACATACATACATGCATGCATACACACATGTAGGCAAACACAAAAAGAACTAAGAAAAAAAAACTTTAAAGAAAAGTCAATGAATTGATATCAACATCTTTAGTCACTTTGGAATATTTAGAAAACAAAGTCAACAAAACCTTCACTCAATGGTATCACAGAATTTTAGTTCTCATATTTAAAAACAGCTAAGAAACACAAATAAGTATTCAAATAACTATAATTATTGAGGGCAATTACCTGAAAATTTATGTAACGGTTTAATCCATAAACTACTGAATATGTATTATGTTTATACACTGAATGATTTATAGAATGGGAAGTAAAACTAATAATAATACATCAATCTTAACTAAATATATTTATAAGAAATCTACTTTTACTTTTTTAAGAAGGTTGATTTTATTTTAGCCTTGAGTTTTATAAAGATTATTTTTATTTTTAATTATGTCTTATGTGCATGCCCATGAGTCTAGTGGCCAAAGAGACCAGAAGAAAACATCAAACTCACTGAATACTGAGTTACAAGCAGTGGTGAGCCACCCAACAGAGGTGCAGGACCAGAACTCAGGTCCTCTGCAAGAAAGTAAGTGCATGCTCTTAACCACTGAACCATCTCTCCAGCCCCCAGCCTCAATTTATTATCTGTGACTTCCTTCACTTCAAATTACCCCTGCTACTCAGTAACTGTACTCCATTTCCGATCCCAACACCATTTAGAAAATAACAAATATGAAACATGAAGCTGGGCAGTGGCGGCACACACACTTCATCCTGGCAGAGGCAGGCAGATCTCTGAGTTCAATGCCAGTGTGTTTTACAGAGTGAGTTCCAGGACAGCCAGGACTACACAGAGAAACCCTGTCTTGGGGGGGTGGGGGGGGTGGGAACAAATACATAAGTGTATTTATCAATAATCTTTTTCTAACCTCTTCTACCAGCTGATCTTGCTCTTTCTGGAATGGATCACTCTTTGTCACTGGCAGAGAGCCTCTGAATCCACTACTCTGTATGTTCTTTGCAGTATCTGATAAAGGAGAGTCTTCCATGTCAGAGTCTGGCACTTTTCTGGAAGTCATGTCAGGGTCTGGCACTTTTCTGAAAGTCATTATGGTTTTCTTTTTGAGAGTTCTCATATTTGGATCCTGAAAAAGAGAGATACAGTATAACCTTAATGATCATGGCCAATTTTGAAGCTCTCTTCATCCCATGGGTCAAAAGTGGGGCTGTTTTACTTTTTGAGACAGGGTCTTAAGTAGCCAGGCTAATCTTGAATTGCAGTGTAGCCCAAGCTAGCCTTACCTGGAGACACTTATGCTTCAGCTTCTCAAGCATCAGGCTCACAGGAGTGTGTCACCACACTGACAAAAGACAATACTATTGTGGAAGTATATGTTCACTGGCAGAGCTAAATAATTTCATATTCTTATTTAGCAATAGAATAGAAAAAGTACAAAAATGGGAGAAAAAGCTTTGAATGTAATTAAGTTTTGTCACCAAAAATAATATTTTATTATAAACCACTATATTCACAATTAATTAAAACTGTTTTTAAAGCCAGGCATTAGACACTTGTGTAATTCCAATATGTGGGAGGCTGAGACAAGAGAATTGCCATGGGTTCAAGATTGGCCTGGCTACACAGTGAGTTCAAGACAAGAGCCTGGGTCAATTAGCAAGGCCATGTCTTCCTGTGCAACAATCTCTGTACACTGTAAATATGTACTGCTCTCATTGTTAATAAAAAGCTGATTGGCCAATTGGCTAGGCAGGATTTTGGGGGCAAAGAGAATGCTGGGAAGAAGGACAGAGTCAGAGGAGTCACAAGCCAGACACAGAGGAAGCAGGATGTGTCAACAATGAGTTTAAAAAGCCATGAGCCATGGAGTAGAACTTAGATAAGAAATATGGGTCAATTTAAGTTGTAAGAGTTAACTAGTAACAAGCCTGAGCTACTGGCTGAGAACCTATATTAAGAGAACGTACATTAAGTCTCTGTACGTTTATTTGGGAGTGGCTGCTGAGACACAGAGAAATTTGACCTACAGTATCTCACAACAAAAATGAAAATTGTTTTACAATATACCTTTTCAAGTAGTGTGACACTGTTTGTATCTGATGATGAAGGACACTGTAAGGGGAAAGTTGCAGGGCTGAAAGAAAAAAGACAGCAAATCCAAGTTATGAGTAGGGAGGCATTAACTAAATTGATGTATCTAAATATCTAAGAAATTGTCTGCCCCGTATCTGTCCATGACGATTTCACTCAATTCGTCCTGGTCATCAAAAGGCAATTTATTCTAGGGAGGTCTAGTGACAATTAGAGCAGTACTTCTGCCCAATCTGTGTATCATTCTCCCAATTAACTCAAACTTTCTTACTTTGTAATTTTTGTCAACAATATTTTCACATGGTTAAATGACTTGACAAACAACAATTTCAATACAACTTAAAACCAAATTCAACTAACTAGAACTGCATTATTACAATGTGCTCAGCATGTTAATACAATTTCACAGTAGGAGAGACCTTAACATTCTTTTAACCAGACGTGGTAACACACACCTGTAGTATCAGATAGCTCACTCGCAAACACTCACCATGTAAACCTGGCAACCTGAGCTTTATCCCCAGATCCCACAATAGAGCAGAACAGACTCTCATAAGTTGTCTTCTAACTTTTACACACAGACACACTTGTGCTCCCACCATACACACATAATAATAAATATTTTTTTTCCTTTTAAATATTTATTTTGGTTTATCATGGTGAGGGTGGAAGTTTTTTTTTAAATAGCATCTACAGATTAAAATTCCATAGCAAGAATAAAATGTAAGTATACTGCCCTGCATGAAATCCTGAAAATTCCAGCATCAAGTACTGAATTTCTTTAAAGAATAATATAAAGTCTTTTTAAATATAAAAAAAAGCAACTAGCAGTCCATCCACCTAAATCTCCAATGCCAGTGTGTCTGTATTAAATATTCTTTACACTGCTCCCTTTTCAGGCCATGAAAAAACATAATAGAGTAGTTAAAATATGTATGTTCATGGAAGTACCAGTTTTAATAATAAAAATAGTAATTTGTAAGCTACTAACCTGTTTCAGAGATTAGACACACTAAGGGCTTCTTCCTCCCATGTACAGAGATTCTTATTATTATCGTAAAATTTTTAATTTTGTGGATCAGAATTTTTAACTAACAAAAAGACTTGGTATTTCATGTTGAAAATCAGTTTCTCCTGTAACTCTTGCTCTATGACAACTATGTTACATATGGAATGAAACTGTTTGCTCAGAGTTCTCGTTTATTCCACTCTGCCTGTGCCTTAGTCTTTTAGATTCCCCTGCTCCTCTGCACAAACATTCAAATGCCATGGTATCTTTTCAGGTTAATTATAAAACAAGTTATTTTACACTTTAAAAACCTTAAAGGAAATAACTTTAAAGTAACCCTGGGATATGGCTGAATGTGGATGAGGTTGGTATAAATGTTCGCATAACATGCACAATCCTCAACACCCCATAAACAGGGTGTAGTGGTAGCCATGTGCCTGTAATTCTAAAACCGTAGGTTAAGACAGAAGGGTCAGAAGTGTTAAGAAGGCACTTGATACCTCATAATGCAAGCTTCATAAGCTGAGTTTGATCCCCAGGACCCATACAAAGGTGGAAAAAGAGACCCAGAAGGTCAGCTATCTACTGACTTTCACATGTGTGTTATGGTCCATGCATTTACAACCCAAGTGTAAGAACTCACAAGGTGTACACATAAACATTAAATAAACTTTCTTTAAAAACAAACAAACAGAAAAAGTAGTTCAAGGATAGCCTAGATCATCCTTTCTAGACAGCAAGTTTGAGGCTAGCCTGGCCTACAAGAGACCCAGTTACAAAAGAGTAAGTCTCATCTTAATTTCAAAAGATCTTTTAAATTCTGAGGGAGGGAGGGGGGAGCATTGCCAAGAACAAGCACTTTGCTTACTTTTCATGACAATACAAAGTGAACAGCTTTGCTAATTAATCTGGTGGGTCTTGAGTTCCAGGGTAGTTAGAGATATATATAACAGAACTGAGTTTTTCTTTCTTTCTTTTTTGTATCATGTGCAGAGTTTTTCTTTCTTTCTGTTTGTTTTTGGAGGTGGGGTGGTGCCTAGAGAGACAGCACAATGGTTAAGAGCATTTCTTGCTCTTCTAAAGGACCCAAGTTCAGTTCCAAACATGTACATAAAGCAGATCACAACCACCTGTAACTTCAGCTCCAAGGGATCCAACATCCTCTTCTGACTTCCCCAGCAACTATGTGCATATACATATTGCATAAATAAAAATTAATCTTTTAAGGGGGTGGGGGCTGATGACTCAGTGGGTAAAAGTACTGGCTGTGCCAGACTGGAGGTCTAAGCTCAATTCCTAGAACACCCTGGAAGAGAAAAACAACCCCAAAAGTTCTCTGACCTCCACATGAATACAATGCCATGTGCACACACACCATCATCCCATTATACACACACTGAATAATAATAAAATAAAATTTAAAACAAATCAATTAGTAATAAGTATAACAGAGGAAGAAGAGCCTTGAAATTGGGTGGATAGGGAAGTAGGGTAGATCCAAAAGGAGTTGGGGGAGAGGGTAGTGAATCAAAATACACTGTATTACATTCTGAACAAATTAATAAAAATATTTAAGGATGTATGAATATATAATAAACCATTATGTTTAGTCAATATATTCTAATTAAAAATATGTGTAACTTTAAAAATAAGAAAGCCAAGGCTAGAATCTAGTTTTTTACCTATGTTTAGGAAGGATATCAATATAAGGAAAGAGAAAAGCATGGGTGTGATGTCACATCCCTTTTATTCCAAGATCCAGAAAGCAAAAACCAGGTAGAGCTCTGTGAATTCAAGGTCAGCCTGGTCTATATAGCAACTGCAGACTAGCAATTCAAAAAGTTAAAATGTCAAAAAGTAAATAAACAAATCAAGAAAACAGCATCACCATTATATACTGGAAATTTTGCAAAACTTGCCATAAGGAGAGTACTCACAACAACAAAGGAATATCCTACTACTACTAAATATTGATTATTGATTCAAGTACAATGCTATCTCTATCAGCTTACTCTAATCAAAACCAACAATAAAACTTAGGGTGCTCTGATTACCTGTGATGATAAGTGAATGTGAAAAGGCCTAAAAATACTCTAAAAACTGTACTCTTTCTTTGCTTTTTAACTGTTACTTTCAATTCATATCATTTTCCCCAGTAATCTTCCCTTCACAATTTTCATAGGAAACTTATTTTTATCTGTTTCTCTTCCACTCGGGGAAGCTGGACTAAAGAAACCTACATAAGCCAAACATCAATCAAATAATACATGTGGCTCTGGATCTCTGGCCCCAAGCTTAAGAGCAGTACTACTCCTGCAGAGAACCCAAGCTCAGTTCTTAGCATACATACTGGGCAGCTCCCAACATGAACCTCTAACTACAGGGGAGCTGATACCCTCTTCTGAACCCTACAGGTACCTGCACTCATGTGTACATACCCATACACATACACACATAATTAAAATACTAAAAACAAATCTTTAAAAAAAAAAAAATAGGAGCCAGGCGGTGGTGGCACACGCCTTTAATCCCAGCACTCAGGAGGCAGAGGCAGGCGGATCTCTGTGAGTTCGAGGCCAGGCTGATCTACAGAGTGAGTTCCAGGATAGGCTCCAAAGCTACAGAGAAACCCTGTCTGGGGGGGGGGGGGGGGGGGGGGGGGGGGGGGGGCGGGAATAGCTAGGACTGGCAAGATGGCTCAGCAAGTAAAGCCACTTGTTGCCACCAAGCCTGACAACCTGAGTTTGGGCTTTGAAACTAACACTGTAGAAGGAATGAACCAACTCAAAGTGTGAAAAACAATACAAAGGCTGCAGAGATGGTTCCTGGGCTTCCTGCACAAGCTGGAAGACCAGAATTCAGAGCCTCAACAACCACATAAAAATGTCAGACATGGCAGCCCAGAACCCAGAATCCTGGGAGACAGAGACAGAAGGACCTCAAAGGTTCATTAGCCACCCAACGTGGCTGATTTGTGAGATCCAGGTTCAATGAGAGATCCTGTCTCAAAATATATGGTGGGGAGTAACAGAAGAAAACACCTGATGATGACCTTTGGCCTCCATACATGCACACATGCATGGGTGTGCACATGGCACACACACTTGCATACACAAGCATAAAGCACACATGTACACATAAATCCAAGTATCTGTTCAGTGTACCTGTTTCACTGTTACATAATAATTCTTACTTGCAATAAAAAATATGTGGATTACGTACATTTAATTCAGAGTTTTTTACTTTTTATTTTTAATTCATGGGGGGGGGTTGTGCATTTCACAACACACATGTGGAAGTCAGTGGTCAATTTGGGAGAGTCAATTCTCTCTTTCCACTACATGAGTCTGAAGGATCGGGATAGAACTCAGGTCCTCAGGCTTGGTAGTAAAAACCTTTACCCACTAAAGCTATCTCACTGGTCATCAGTTTCTTATTTTATATCAGGCATTCATTGTAAGAGCTAAAATGGGTTAACAGAAAACGGGCAATAAAGAAAATAGAATTCCTAAAGGAAGTGGTAACAAAATAGGTTTAGGTTTTTCATATTAAATTTGGGATTTGAGAAATCAGATGTTTTCTAATATTTTTCCTAAAGAATGTTAACTCTCTATAAAATATCAAAAACTTCAGTATAAGCCTGGTATAGTGGTATATGCACACCTTTAATCCTAGCACTAAGGCAGACCAGTGTCTGTGAGTTCAAGGTCAGCCTGTAAGGAGAGCCAGAGCTACACAGTGAGACCCTGTCTCAAGCAAAAAACAAAAAGAAGAAAAAAGCCTTCAATACATGGGTCAGAGAAAGGCCTTGCCCTCTAGAGCACTTGCTCTTCTTACAGAGTGTTTGGTTACCAGCACCTACAATGCAGCTCACAACTATAACTTCAGTTCCAGGGAATGTGGCATCCTCTTCTGGCCTCCAAGGGCACCAGGCATGCACTCAGTACACTTACATACATGCAAGCAGAGCACTCATACACATAATAAAATATAAATTAAAAAAAAAAACTTTTATAATACAGATGAAAGCAGCAAGCTGTGCAGGCTAAAGCAGGAAAGGGTGGACCAAATGAAGACTTGGCCATAGCAACAGAAAGCACTAGTCTGAAAGTTCCCTACCAAACCAGATGACCTCAAATGCCCCAAATTTTAGATTCAATAGTTAAGAGTGATTTCAAAAACAGTTTAGTTCACACACATAGAAAAAAGGGCAAAAATTCTCAAACTTACCTTATGCAACTTGCAAATCTGTACTTTCTTCAAAACTCAGATGATCCCCAAATAACACAATATTGAAATGAGTAGAAGGAAAAACTGTCCAGGCACAGCAAGTACTGAACGTCTTCTGCAGTGTGGGTCTGCAGTAGGAAAACCCTGTCTGGTTGAGAGGAAGAAGCTCCACACTCTTCTACAGTATAGAAAGTTCTAAACTGGCTCAGGATGAGACTCAAATCAACAGTGAGCATAAAAGTCAAATGCTTTACCTGTTGGCTAGATCACACACACCTCCTGGGGTGTCGGTTTCTCTTCCGCTACCATTTTCTTGATTATGTTCTTTATGTTTATCTAAGGAAGTGCAAAAATTATTTTTTAGTTATGTTCGTGTGTGCTAATATTCAAGGACCTCTAGAAATGGTGCAACACCTATCCTTTCCCCCTGAAGTCAAGGTTCAAACACAAGTTTTGTTAATGTTGCACAGGTGCTCTATCATTGAGCTTCATGCCCAATTGTTTAGAACAGCTTCTAAATAAAAAAAATAAAAAAAATAAAAAAAAATAAAAAAAAAAACCAGAAGGATATTATAAACACGAATAAGGACCCAAGGGGAGAGCTCAGTGGGTAAAACAACTTGCCATACAAACTGAATACTTGGTTCAACCCCCAGAGCCCAAGGCATAGTGTATCTACAATCCCAGGACCCCTGCAGGAAATGGGAGACAGAGATACAGAAACTGTGGGACTGCAGGTCAACTGGCCTTGCAGAATTATAAAAAAGCAACAGGAGACCCTGCCCCATACTTACATACCCACAGCCACCACACAAGAAAGTTTTTTTGTAAACCTATCTAAGGCCAGTAAGATAGTTGGCTTAGCAGCTAAGGGCGCTTGCCACCAATCCTGACAAACTGAAATAGCTTCCCTACAACCACATGAGGAGAAAACTAACTCCCACAAGTTGGATGCTGATTTCCACATGCACTTTGTAGTGGGCATACATATACAAAATATTTGGGGGAAAAATAACCAACAAATTGTTAAGACAAAGTAATAATAAAGAAGTAATAGATTGCCTGGTAGCAGGCTTTTATAAAAAGAATGATGTAGCCAGGCATAGTTCTGTACTTCTACAAGCCCAGCACATGGAAGGTAAAGGCAGGAATTCAAGGCCAGCTTCCACTATACAGTCTGAGGCCAGCCTGGGCTACAGAAAACCCGTCTTGAAACAAAAAAAAAAAAAAGGGGGGGGGTGCTAGATATATGTTGTGCATGGCCCTGAGTTTAATCATCAGCACCAAATTCAGTTATATAATCATGTTTCATTTTTAAGTGAACAAATCATGTGCTAATATAAGCAAACAAAAACAAAAGGTACTTACCATATTTCGATCATTTATGATGTCACTCAGCCTACACATTTTTTTCATCATCCTAGCATTAAACAACTACGTCACTACCACACTAACATAGCAAAGAAACAGAAGGTAGAGACTTTGACACCAAGCAGTCAGTCTAGGATAGTGGTGACTGAAGTGCTCCGTTCTACTGCTACAGTAGTATGCCAGAAGTACGTAAGGAAGCAGAGGATGGATATATACCAGTCCCAGAGAAAGAGCAGAAAGAAGACGTACAGGCACCAAGAGGGGAGGGTACAGATTTCATTTGCAAGAGCAAGGACCATGGCTTATGGTACTGAGGAGGAGATAACCACCACCGAGACATAGCAGGAAATGAGACTGGCAAATCAAGCCATGGCTATATTACAGATGTGAGATTCCAGGGACCCCTCCTTTTCAACAAATTACCCCCTATGAGTCTTTCCATACTTGAACATTTAACCAAAGTGTCACTGCATGAGCCAATGCAAATGCTATGTAAAGATTTGTCCTTCATCTTATGGTAGTATTCGTAGTATACCAACTCAACCTTTTCTCTCCTTTCTTTCTTTCATTTTTGTTTTTCAAGACAGAGTTTCTGTGTAGCCCTGGCTGTCCTGAAACTCACTCTGTAGACTAGGCTGGCCTCAAACTCAGAGATCCCCTGCTTCTGCTTCACAAATGCTGGGATTAAAGGTGTGCACCACCACTGCCAGGCTCCACCTCAACCTTTTCAAAACCCTCTGCACGTTTGATTATAATGGAATCACAAAACATTCCTCATATGAGAAGAAACACAAATATCACAAAACTAGCAGAAAGCCATAAAAACAAACAAATTACTATACACCACTATAAACATCAACTGTTGTGGTAAGCAGAGCTGAAACTCATCTTTCTGGCAAATAAAGAAGCTTATAACCAAGAGGTGGTGGCTCACACTCATAATCCCAGCACTTAGAAAGCAGAGTTCAGGACTGGAAAAATGGCTCAGTGATTGCTCTTCCAGAGGACCTGGGTCTATTATTATGGTGGGACATGGAGGCATGACAGACAGACATGTTGATGGAGCTGAGAGTCCTACATCTCTAGCAGCAGACAACAGGAAGTGGTCTGAGACACTGGGCGTAGCTCACTGGCTGCTATTCCAGAGGACCTGGGTTCAATTTCCAGCAACCACATGGCAGCTCACAACTATCTGTAACTCCAGTTTTAGGGCTTCTGACACCCTCACATAGACAAACAGGCAAGCAAAACACCAATGCACATAAATAAAAAGAAATCATTTTTAAAAAGAAAGAAAAGAAGGCTGAGCTCAAGATTAGCTTATGCTACAGAGAGTTCCAGGCCAACATGGACTCCTCCATGTGGAGAGACCCACCAAAGACAGCAACCAAGTATTGCAATAAGAAGTAAACAACTGGCCGGGCAGTGGTGGCGCACGCCTTTAATCCCAGCACTTGGGAGGCAGAGCCAGGCAGATCTTTGTGAGTTCGAGGCCAGCCTGGTTTACAGAGCGAGATCCAGGAAAGGTGCAAAGCTACACAGAGAAACCCTGTCTCGAAAAAAGAAAAGAAGAAGAAGAAAGAAGAAGAAGAAAGAAGAAAGAAGAAAGAAGAAAGAAGAAAGAAGAAAGAAGAAAGAAGAAAGAAGAAAGAAGAAAGAAGAAAGAAGAAAGAAGAAAGA